CCCGCGCAAGGCTGCTGCTGGCGGCCCAACAGGGTCTTGCTCACAGTGCCCCCCACGCCGCCCCCCCCTGTCAGTCGGGGCGTCACTGCGCGGGCCCAGGACCAGCTCAAACGCCCCGAAAACCAAGAAGAGCGACCCGGGGGGCCCCCAGAAGGGGCCCCCGGGGGGCCCCCAGCAGCCCGGGGAGACCCGCGGGCGGGGCCCCCGCGCCGCGGGGGCCCCCCTGAGGCAGGCGGGCCCTCCGCCGCCGCGGGAGAAACCGAGAAAGACTCGGAGGGGGGCCCCCTCGCCAGCTCCGGAGGGGGGGCCCCCGGGCCTGGGGAAGCTGCTGGGGCGGGCAGGGGGGCCCAGGGGAGGGCCAGGGGGCCCCCAGGAAGGGCGGGGGGCCCCTCGGGGACCCCCAGGTGCTGCTGCAGAGGGGAGGGGGAGGGGCTGGGGGGGCCCCCAAGGGCTGCAGCCCGGGGGCAGCACAGAGGTAACAGCAGCACGGAGAAGAGAGCCTTGGCAGCCCTCATAAAGGATAAAATTGGGAGAACACTTCAAATAAATTAATTTAAATTATTTAATCTAAATAAAATCGAATTATTTTAGAGGAATCTTCGCGAAGAACTGACCCGCAGACGGAAGGCTGCAGTGGTCCACTGGGGCGCCGCCGCCGGCGCGCGGCCTCCTCCTCGTTTGTCCTCCCCTCGAACAGCAAATGAATAAACAACTCTATTCTATTTATTATTTTATTTATTTTTTTCAAAATAAAATCCAAAGAAACAAATCCAGAGGCCCCCTTTGCTCCTTTTTGCAGCCTCCCCCCCAGGGATCGGCTGCGGGCCGCGGCCACCACTGCGGTGTCTGAGCTCCAGCTGGAGATACACAAGAAAATAGGATCATTTGTCAACTAGCTGTTTAATTTTATCTATGTTTTTGCTATATGATTATAAATTAAGCATTTAATTTTACTTTTAAAGTACTTTATTTCCTTTTCAGGGCAAAATAACGAACAAAGACCTGGTCTTACCGATGGACTCTCGAGTTGCTGCCGACTAAGCCCAGAAGTTTCATTTGCTGCTTCAGTCTTTTATCATTTTATTTCATTTTTAATTTGATTAAATTTAATTTAATTCAATTCAATTGTTTTTGCTTTATTTATTTTGTTTTTCGCCTCTATCCCGTTTTATTCGTCGGACGGGAACTCCCCCAGTCTTCCGGATCGAGACAGTTGCAGCCAGGCGAGGGTTTAGGGTTTAGGGTTTAGGATTTCGGTGTAGGGTCTCTGAGTTAGTCCCTCCACCAGCTAGCCAGACACATAGCCAGCTAGCTAGCTGTGGCTAGCTAGCTCTCCGCTAGCCATGTGGCCGTGCAGAAGCACAGCTAGCCATAAAGCTAGCTCTTGGGATATCCAAAGCGGCAGCCAATTGAGCAGCTAGCTGGGCAGCTAGCTGGGCAGCTAGCTGGGCAGCTAGCTGGGCAGCTAGCTGAGCAGCTAGCTGGGCAGCCAGCTGCACGGCTAAGCAGTTAGCTGGAGGCTAGTTAGGCAGCCAGACAGCCAGCTAGCTGCGCAGCTAGCTAGTTGTTTGCTGGCTAGCTAGCCAGCAGAATAGCTAGCTAGCTAGCCCTCTAGGTAATTAAATGCTGGCCTACGGAAGAATATGCTGCAATTTCCTGCGGTTTTTGCTGCTTTTGTTCTTCATGGTGCTGCTGAAATTGCGAGGACAGAGCTGGAGAATTCAGCAGCAGCAGCAGCAGCAGCTGCTGCTGCTGCTGCTGCTGCTACTCCTGCTCCTGCTTCTGCACCACCATCAACGCCGGTAGCAGCAGCGGCACAAATAATCGGCTGCCAGCCAGCAGCGGCTCAGCTAAAGCACAAGGCTTGCTAGGCCTATTTGTGCAGCAGCAGCAGCAGCAGCAGCACCACTAACAGAAGCCACAGCAGCAGCAAGCGGCTGCTAAGCAGCAGCAGCAGCAGCAGCAGCAGGCTGCTCTTGGGCAGCAGCAACTCAGCTGCAGCAAAAGCCTTGCCACGCCAATTAATGCTGAGCAGCAGCAGCAGCAGCAGCAATACCAGACAGTGCCTGTTAACCAACAGCAGCCGCACTGCAGCACAAACTTCGTTAGGCATACTTTTGGAGCAGCAGCAGCAGCAGCAGCAGCAGCAGTAGCGGCAGCAGCAGAGGCATCGTTGTCATCAGCAGCGGCAACAACAGCAGCACCAGCAACAGAACCAGCGACAGCAGCAGCAATAGCAGCAGCAGCAGCAGCAGCGGCAAGTCCGCCGTTGTCTCTTCCACGCTGCTGCCTTTCATTTAATCTTTTAGAACTTTTTTTATTTGCTCCCATCTGCACTTTTTGCTGCAGCCCTTTAATTTATCCTTTACCTATTTATTTATTTATTTATTATTTATTAATTAATTAATTGATTAATTAGTTTTATTATTATTTATAATTTATTTTTCATTGTTGGTTTATTTGGGCCGGCTGCTCGCGTGCTGCTGCGGCTGTTGGCCTCCATGCCCTTTGTGCTTTAGGTGCTGCTGCTGGAGTTGCTGTTGTTGCTGTTGCTGCTGCTGCTGGCTTTTAGTTTGTTGCTGACAAGCAGCAGCTCAGCACCGTAGCCTGCGAGCAGCAGCAGCAGACGACAACAGCTGCAGCAGCAGCAGAAGATGACAGCAGCTGCAGCAGCAGCAGTTGCATATTGGCTAAGGCTGTTACCGATACTGCAGCAGCAGCACAAACACACAGCAGCACTACCAGCAGAAGCAGCAGCACCCCTAGGAGCAGCAGCAGCAGCACTATCAGCAGCAGCACCAGAGGCAGCACTGCCAGGTGCAGCAGCACTACCAGGAGCAGCAACAGCAAATCTACCAGCAGCAGCAGGACCGTGAAACCCCAATGCTACAGCTTCTAGGCTTACGAAAGGGCACGGCAGCAGCAGCAGCAGCAACAGTAGCAGCAGAGACAAGAGCAGCAGCAGCTCTTAAAGTAGCAGCAGCAACAACGATTGCAGCAGCAGCAACTATGATTGCAGCAGAAGCAACTGCAACAAATGGTGCTGCTGCTGCATCTTCGCTGGGGTTTCTAGCTGCTGCTGCGGCAGCAGCAGCAGCCGCACCCGTGCTGAGCTGCTCATCTGTTTCTGTGGAATTAAGAAGGCTTAATAGCTGCAGAATTATAACCGCAATTTGTTACCAGATAACAGCAGCAGCAGCAGCAGCAGCAGCAGCGGCAGCAGCACAGGCAGCATGGGAGGCAGCAGCAGAGAGCCATTTGCGCCGTCATCAAAGCCTAGCTGCACCCCTTTGCAGCAAAAACTCAATTAAATATTATAAAAGAATTAATTTAATTATTTTTGATCTTTTTAACAACAAAAGAAACACAATTGGTGGGGTTGCTGCAACACAAATCGACCCTGTGTACAGCCCCCCCGGGGGGCCCCCGCTGGGGCCTCCAGCAACAGCAGCAGCAACAGCAGCTGCTGCAGCAGGACTCGGTTTGCTGCGTAATTTGAAGCTTTAAGATTAAGCAGCAACACTTGTGAAACCACAACCAACGATAGCAGCAACAGTCACTGCAGCACTGAGAGCAGCTGCAGCAGCAGCTGCTGCAGTGACCAGCAGCAGCAGCAATAGCAGCAGAACCGCGCCGCCGGTTTTGACAGATGAAGTAAAGCGGCACGTTTTGCTGCTGCTGCTGCTGCAGGACGGCTGGTGGCTGCTGGGCCCGAGGTGCTGCTGGCTTCCTGCTGGCAGCAGCAAGGGGGGCAACAGCTGCGGCAGCAAAAGCAACAGCAGCAGCAGCAGCAGCAGCAGCAGGATGGACTTCGACTTGCTGCAGTCCCACCTACAATGGCGTATAGCTGTGCACCGCGTGAGGCCTTGCTTGCGGCACGTTTCAGCCCTCCTCCCGTAGCAGCAGCAGCAGCAGTAGCAAATGAGGCAGCAGCAGGCCGGCCAGCATCTCTTGCTGCTGCTGCTGCAGCAGCAAACGGGGCCCCCTGCCTCTCACCTGCTGTGGCTTACAGCAGCAGCATTGCGCGCACTCTGGAGGCCCTAAAGAGCCTGCAGCAGCTGCTTATGAAACCCTCAGCAGCAGCAGCAGCAGCAGCAGCAGGTGCCGCTGCTGCTGCTCCAGGGGAGGATGATGCAACACCGGGGAACCTGCTTCCTCCTTCGTCGTGGCAGCAGCAGCAGCAGCAGCTGCTGCTGCTGCAACAGCAGCAGAAGCGGCTCAGGAAGCAGCACAAACAACTGCAGCAGCAACAGGCACTGCTCCTTCTTCAGCAGCAGCAGCAGCAGCAACAGCAGCAGCACCGGCAGCAGGAGGAAGTGTTTGTTAGGAGAATTGCTGCTGAGGTCCACGTGCTGGTTTCTGCTGCAGCAGATCTGCGCAGCCCCGCGCTGCAGCAGCTGCTGCAGCAGACGGTTGGGGGCGCCGCCGCTGCATGCAGGCAGCAGCAGAGGCAGCAGCAGCAGGAAGAGCCTTCAGCAGCAACAGAGGCAGCTGCAGCAGCACGCGAGGTGCTGCTTGCTGTGCTGACGCCTTCGGTTAGCAGCAGCAGCAGCAGCAGCCAGCTGCTGCTGCCTCCGGGTCTGCTGCATCGGCTGTCTTACTTGTCCCTGAACGGCCTCGGGCTGCAGCAGCTGCCGCCTCTTGCTGCTGCTGCTCCGCTGCTGCAGCAGCTGCTGCTGGACCACAACTGCCTCACAGATGACTCACTCCGCTCGCTGCAGCAGCTGCAGCAGCTGCAGCTGCTGTCCCTTTCTCACAACCGCCTGCGCCTCCCAGGACTCTGCTCTGCTGCTGCTGCTGCTGGAGGCTCTGAGCAGCAGCAGCAGCAGCAGCAGCAACGGCGGGGAGGTCCGTACAGGACGGGGGCCTTTGCTGCGGATGAGCTTCCCCAACCAGCAGCAGCAGCAGCAGCAGCAACGCTAAGTAGCAGCAGCAGCAGCAGCAGCAAGGGGCTATTTGGCATCTGTTCTCTGCTGCAGTCCCTGCCTTCGCTGCTGCTGCTGGACATCAGCAGCAACAGCCTCTGCTCGCTGGGCGAGCAGCTGCAGAGCTTGTCGCTGCAGCAGCTGCTGTGCTGCAGCAACAACTTACGGGAGCTGCTGCTGCTGCAGCAGCTGCCGCAGCTGCTGCTGCTCGATGCCCGCCACAACCCTATTGATGTTGTAGGGGGGCTCGACTGCGCGCCGAAGCTTCAGCGCCTGCTGCTCTCAGAGCAGCAGCAGCAGCAGCAGCAGCAACAGCAGCAGCAGCAGCAGGGGACGGAAGCTGGAGATATAGAGTTGTGCCACGACGCCCTGGAGAGCGTTGATGTGGAGCTGCTGCCTCCGCAGCAGCAGCAGCCGCAGCAACAGCAGCACTTGACGGAGCAGAGGACTGCAACACCAACAGCATGCAACAGCAGCAGCAGCAGCAGCAGCAGGGGCACTCTTGCTGCTTGCCGGTGGCTCTCAGTGTCGCGCTGGCGGGTGCCGGAGCTGCAGCATTTGAATATCAGCAGCAGCAGCAGCCGCAGCACTCCGCTGCAGCTTCCTGAGGAATGGCTGAACCCCCTCAGCAGCAGCAGCAACAGCAGCAGCAGCAGCAACAGCAGCAGCAGCAGCAGCAGCGGGAGCCTGCGGCCGCTTCCTGCTGCGTGCGTCTTCCCGCGTCTGTGTCGCTTGTCTGTGGTTGGCTGCTGCTGGTCTGCTGCTGCGCTACATGCGTTTGCTGCAGCGCCGCTGCCGCTGCTGCAGCAGCTTGACTTAAGGTGCTGCAGCTTGCTGCTGCTGCCCCCCGAAGTCTTCGTGAACAAGCCGCAGCTCAAGCTGCTGCTGCTGGATGCAAATCCGCTGCTGTCGCTGGAGGCTCTGCTGCTTGCGTTGAAGCCAATCGTGAGAGACTGCCTTTGCTGCTGCTGCTGCTGCTGCTGCTGGAGCCTGTTGCGGCATGAACGGCGGGAGTTTGCGAGCGCTGCAGCTGGCTGTTGCTGCCGAATTTATTCTTCCTGCTGCAGTTGCTGCTCGTTTTGCTGCTTGTTATAAAGAGGTTGCTCCCGCTGCTGCTGCTGCCGCTGCTGGTATTGCCGCTGCTGCTGCTGCCGTTGCTGCTTTCAGACACCATCTGTGTGCTGCTGCTGCTGTTATATTTGCAGGTGCCAACGCTGCAGCACTTGTCGCTGCGAGACACTCCTATGTGTGACGGTCTTTATCCGTTGCTGCAGCAGCAACAGCAGCAACAGCACCAACAGCATCAGCAACAGCAGCAGCAGCAACACGAGACAGCCATGCAAGCTCCCCCCTCTTTTTTGCTTACAGAGTCTCTGTACGAGTTGATGGTAGAGCAGCAACAGCGATGGCAGCAGCAGCAGCAGCAGCAGCAGCAGCAGCAGCAGCAGCAGCAGCATGAGTCCCTGGCGACGCTGATTGCACAGAGAGATATGTTCTCACCTCGGGACCTCAAAGCAGCAGCAGCAGCAGCAGCAGGTAATTCTGCTGCTGCCGGAGCTCTTCAAAGGAGCGGTGTATCGAAGAGTCGCTGGGTCTACAGGTTTGTTTCCCGTTGCTGCCTGCTGCTGCTGCTGCAGCTGCTGCTGCTGCAGCTGCTGCTGCCATGCATGTTTTTCCTGCTACGGACGTTGCTGCATGATGCCTTGGGGCTTGCTGCTGCTGCTGCTGCTCTTCAGGCGAGCTGTTGCTGCGGCTTGCCCGGAGCTGGTGTCGCTTGATGGGCTGCTGCTGCAGCAGGAGCCCGAGCTGGCCGACCCTGTTGCTGCAGCAGTTGCTGCTGCAGTTGCCAAGGCTGTGCTGCCCCCCAGTACTCTCGCAGCAGCGGCAGCAGCTGCTGCTGATGCTGCTGCAGCAAAAATTGGAGAGAGAGCTGCACACCAGCGGCACGAAGCCTGCCGGCCCGATGGGGCTCTGCAGCAGCAGCAGGACAACCAGCAGCAGCAGCAGCAGCAGCAGCTGTACTGCAGCAACGGTGCTGCTGCGCATGCAGTTGGAGAAGTTGTTAAGCCCCTTTCCGCTTCTTTGCTGCCGCCCCCAAGAGGATGGGCACCGGGTGTATCGACCGCTGCTGG